CTCACTTCCCCCTCCCCCATTTCTGAAGAAGGGTCCCGACCCGAAACGTCAACTTTCCTGCTCATCTGACGGTGCCTGACCTGCTGTGTTCCTCCAGCTCTACACTGTGTCATCTCTGACTCCAGCATTGGCAGTTCTTACTATCTCTGATTTTATATAAAGGTGCATCTAAGGTTGTAAAATATTCTAAGCCACTTCGCAGGAATTTTATTGATTCAAATTTAACGTCAATTCATGGAAAGAAATATAAAACTCATTCCTAATGTGCCCCATCCACGTTTCCCAAAAATGTTACAAGACTCAGCGACGCGGCTGAGGGAGAAGCAACAGTGGCCCTGAATCTCGCGAGAGTCGGCTGGAGGGGCGGCGGGATTTGGTGGGTGTCAGGGCGACAGGCTCCGTTCAGCAGAGCGGAGACTGCGTTAAAATGCCGGCGCTGGTAACAGCGATGTTGCTGCCCCGGTTACATGCTGCAGCGGCTGCACTCCACCGTACACTGGCTACAACTGTGAGTGATCGTGGATTAGTATGTTTTTAAAGGGAGACGGGTAATTTGTTAGTGTCCTTTAATGTTTTGGCTCGAGTGGTGAGGGCGGAATTAGTGAGGATATGTTATTTACCTGTACAAATGTCATGTTGGAGGACGTAAAAACACTTCTGTGCAGGTGTGCACAGAATGGGGGCTGGGAAAATTTATCCGACTTCTTAATAAAACCATAGCTGATCTTGAACTTCAATTCTACCTTCCTTCCTGCTCCCAATATCTCCAGTCCTTTGGGCGAACAACAGTTTGTGGAACTCGGCCTTAAATATATTCAACTATGCAGTTCTCTGGGGCAGAGAAATCCTGAGAATTACAACCTTTTAACTGGATACGTTTTTCCTCCAATTATTTTTCTTTATCCTAAAACTGTTTCCCCTTGATTTATATTCACTGCCGATGGAAACAATGAGTGTAGGTGTCAATCCTGTCAAACCGCTTCAGACTGAGGAGTGACCTAGTGAAGCAGTCTTCTCGACATCAAAGAATATAATCCCAATTTACTCATCCTTTTAACATGGGATAATCTGTCATTCTGGGCATCAACATAGTGAACATTTGTGTATTACATCCAGTGCTAGTGAATCTCCCCTTAAAAATGGGAACGAAAATTGCATAGATTATAACAGCTTTGGTTTTAACAAAGCTCTGTATAAATGTAGTAGTCATAGGACTTGTTTATTTCTATACTCTAATCCCTTTGTGATAAAGGTTAATAAAGCATTTGGCTTTCTTTCATTCTAATATTTCAGTAAGCATCATTAAAGTGCTTGTTAATCTTGTTATTTGTGGAATCTTGCTATGTATTTCATTTCATTATATAATTTGTTGTATCTGAAGCACTTAAAGTCATTTGGTGCAATTTAAACACTTTTCAGAATGTTAAAAGATTCTACATAAATACTTGTCTGTCATTTTTGTGAAATTCAAACATGTTTGGCATGGACTGGTTGGACCGAAGAGTCTCTTTCCATGCTGTATGACTCTATGTGCTCCTTATAGAATAGTACTATTGCTCAACATTCATTATTTTTGTGAGCCAGCTTGTTGTGGACTTATGTGGCAGCTGGGGTAACTAAGAATTAATTAAAATGACTTGATTTCAAATGTTATGTTATTTTTTAAAGAGTCATGCAGCACAGAAATAGACCCTTCAGCTCAACTCGTCCATGCCAATGAGGTTTCCTAAACTGAACTGGTTGGTGTTTGGTCCATATCCCTCTAAACCCTTCCTATCTGTGTGACTAACTATATATCTTTTAAATGTTGTAATTGTACTTGCTCTACCACTTCCTCTACCAGCTCATTCCATATTTACACCACCCTCTGTGTGGAAAAAGTTGTTCCTCAGTCCCTTTTTAAATCTTTCCCCTCTCTCCTTAAACCTATGTCCTCTAGTTTTGGAGTCACCTACCTGGGGAAAAAGACATTGGCTATTTACCTTATCCATGTCCCTCATGATTTTATAAACCTCTAAGGTCACCCTTCAGCCTCCTATGCTCTGGGAAGAAAGATCCAGCCTATCTAACCTCACCTTTATAACTCAAACCTTTCAGTCTTGGTAACATCTTTGTTCATCTTTATTGAACCCTTTCCAGTTTAATAACATCTTTCCTATAGGAGGGTGACCAGAATTATACGCAGTACTCCAAATGTGGCCTTACACTGCAATCATTTAGTTTCCACATTTTAAACAATATTTAGTCTTTGCTGTTTATTTTTAATTGTGTTGCATGTTTTTTTAATTGTTCTTTTATGTTTTTACAAGATGTGTAATGCAATTCCAAAAATAGGGAAGCGGCCAATCCAAGACATCAGTGAAGAAAATGTATCAACTGTGACTTTGACCCTGTTAACAAACATGCGTCTGTTATGAAGTTCAGTTGGTGGTGTCACAGTATACAATATTGTTTTCTTTTCTCAAAAAGACTCATTGGTACAAAGTACATGCTCTATTTGGCACACACCATTGCTAAATTATGTTAAAGAATAACTTACGTTAACTATGTTTGGTTTGTATTTGGTATTTTTTAATAATTCAATAGGTAGCATGAAGTTGTTATCCCACTTTATTACGTTGAAGACATTTTAACTGTTCTCTAGAGCCTCACTATTTTGGTTTTTTTGTGCCCTCCTTTACACACAATTACACATTTGCAAACCTTTGAGTGAAACTGCATTTGTTTATCAACTAATTTCCTTGTTTGTATAGTATAGAAATTGCTAGGTGGCCAATATTGGTCTTGAATTAAGTACAAGGACAATTGTGTTTACCTGAGGACATCAGTAAATATGGTGAGGTTTTATAATGACCTTGGAGAGGGCTTAAATAAACATGGCAGAGGAATGAGAACCAGGAGATTACTTTTAAAATGGAAAAATGACATGCACAGAGAATTTGGAAAGACTGTACTAGAACAAGACAAGGTAGAGTCAGAATAAGGAAAAAATGCAAACCTGCTAAATTAGATTTACCATGCATATAAGTGAACACATGGAATGTGATATGATAATAGAAGCAAAGTACTATGGCTGTTGGAGATATGAAATGAAAACAAATTTCTGAAGGAACTGAGCTCTGGCAGCATCTGCAGAGAGAGAAACAGAATTAATGTATCAAGTCCAATATAACACTTCTTTGGAGCACTGAGAATATGATGTTGCAGTGGTAATGGCAATCTGGATGGAAACAAAGCCAGAATGGATACTAAATATTGCTGGATGCAAGGTATTCAGAAGAAAAAAAAAATGGAAGTATTGATTAAGCAGAACATTACAGTGCTGGAGAAAGAAGACAACCTGAAGGATTTAACAACATTTCCTCTAAACTGCATGATTAACTGGGATGTTGCACACCTGCTGATTGGCATGTCAATAATGCTGCATGTGGACCACAGAACAGAAAAAAAATACAGAAAACATTGATTACATCTTGAATCAATTTAGTTAGAGCCAAGAGCCAAAGAGGTACAATTAAATTGTTATGCATACTCTTTGGGCCACCAACATTGGGAACAGATAAGAGCAACAAATGTGCAAGGAAATGTCGCATGGTTAAAAATTCTAGTTATAATGAGGGATTTTATTACCATCTCAGTGTATTTGGATAATTAATGTAAAGAGCAAGAGAGTGGAAAGAGTTTCTCGTGAGTTCATGAGAATTTTGTAAGGAAGTATGTTTCTGCTCCAATGAGAGAGGAGGCATTGCTGAATCTCATATTGGGAAATGAGGTGGGCCAGGCAGATTTGTTAGGAGGTGAACACTTAATGAACAGTGAACATAGTGTCTAGGTTGAAGTTAGCCAAAGAAAGAGACCAGGAATGATCCAGAATAGAAGTAATTTAATTGGGGGAGGAAAATTTCAAGGGGATGGGAATAGATCTGGCTCAAGTAAAGTCAAATATTGGCTGACAAAACTATAATGGATAAGTAGGCTGTCTTTAAAGAACAGATTTGATAGAGATATTCAAAATTGCAAAGTAGATCAGATGGGGTGGGGAAACTGTTCCAATTGGCGAAAGGGTCAAGAAGCAGTGTTAAAACTTTAAGTACCAAATAACATGACTAATTGCTTGGAAGTATAGACTTTAAACATTTTGTTTTAAAGAAGGTCTCTTAGCATGCAGATGCAGTAGGAAATGTTAACTGTATTTATTAACTGAAATGCAAACTGAGCAGGTCAGCTTCCTGCCAACCATAAGCCAAGCAATTAGCACACTCTTTATTGCTTTATAAATTGATGTTTCCTTTCTCAAGTTTGTTTCTATCCTGATGAATGCAAGATGAAAAAGTCAATTTCAGATATCTGGAAGATATTAACAATTTCTTCTTATTGTTATTTAGACTTGTGCAGCTGTGGCACAATCTCTCCCTGAGCAAGTAAAGATTGTGGAAGTTGGACCCCGAGATGGTCTACAGAATGAGAAGGTAATCGACATTAGGCAGAAAATTTACTTTGAACATTGAAAATGGAAGCAGTTATTTTGTTGACGTCTCCCAAGAATGGCTTTACTGATGGCAAAGCGGAATTTAATTGCATTGCCATAATGTTAATGAAAGGTATTGTACAGTTTTAATGTTAATACACTTGTTTGGTTGATTTCAATTTTGTTTTCTGCACACCAACCTTATTCTCAATTTATGGAGAATTTTTAATCTCATTACGTGCCATTTTTGAGAAACCCATCAAACCAGGAAAATATCACAGATTTAGAGACTTATTACTACATATAAGGAGACTCTTTTGCTTGTTGTGTCTGCTCTGGCTCTCCAAATGAACACCTAATGCCACTCCCCTGTTCTCCCTGTTATCTGTACTGTTCTTCCTTTTTGGATAATTCAATTGCGTCTTGAATGTCTCAATTGAGCCTGCTGTATCATGCTTGTGGGCAGCCTATTCCAGATCTTAACCACTTATTGCCTGAAGAAATTTCTCATTGTGTCTACATTGCTTCTTTACCCAATTAATTTAAAACTTTGCTTCCTCATTCTCAATCCTTCCACCAGTGGGAACAATTTATCTCTAATTTCTCTGTTCACACCCCTTTTGATTTTCATTATCTCTATCAAATCTCCTCATCCGAACCTTCTCTTTTCCCTGGCAAACAGCCCTAATTTCTCCCATATATGTACATAACTGAAGTTCCTCATCCTTGGGAGTCATTCCTACAAATCTTTACCGATAATACCATTCATTCCTAACATGGATGCAATACTCCATTTGAGGCAGAACCCGTATTTTATACATGTTTAACATTTTCTTTGCTCTTATACACAATGCCCCATTAATAAAGCGTAGGTTACCGTGTACTTTATGAACAACTCTCTCAACCCAACCTCCCACCTTCAGTGTCCCGTGCATATAAAGACTCCAATCCTTCTGGTCCTGCATCCCTGTGGAATTTTCCATTTATCTGGTGTGATCAAAACAAATTATTTCACGTTTCCTTGTATTGAATTTCATTTGTTACTTGTTTGCACATTTCACCACTGTCTTTTGAAGTTCTATACTATTCTTTGTTTACTATGATTGCAAGTTTTGCATTTTGTGCAAATTTTGAAATTGTGCTCCATACACCAAAGGCTAAGTCATTAACATAAATCAGAAAGAGCATGTCTCCTAACAATGACCCCAAGGAACTCCACTGCAACCTTCCTTCAGTCTGAAAAATGTCCATTAACTGATGTCACTGAGCCAATATCATATACATGTTACTGTCCTTTTTATTCCATGAGCTATAATTTTGCTCAAAGGTCTTGTGCGCTATGATATGTCAAATACCTTTTGGATATCTATGTACACCTCATAAACAGCATTACCCTCATCAGCCCCCTTTTTTGCTCTTCAAAAAAACTTCAGTGATTTGGTTAAACACAATTTTTCCATCCTTGCCAACTTTCCTTAATTTGGCCCTTAATGTAGTGAGTTTGCTTTACAAAACTTGTTGATTTCAACTTTTCAGTTTCAAATAAATTGCTTTTTTGAACTTTAACAACTCGGGTAATAAATCTTTGAAAAGGTTCAAGTTCAGTTTCTTTCCTTCAGATAAGGAGCTAATCAAGGTAATGGAGAAGAGTTCCCAGTGGGCAAAATTAATTCAATACGACAATAATTTGCGTAAAGATGATATAGGATGGGATTACGGTGCTTTGTAGCAACTGCTAAAATGTCAGTCTCAATGTCTCTGACACTGAGATAATTCAATGAGAAGAAATACCCAGGTTATTGTTGCATGTTATAAGTACGCAGTATTTCCACGATTACCAACATATGCAACAGCTTAGGAATTTTTTTTTTCTCTTTATTCATTCACGGGATGCAGGCGTCACTGGCAAGACTGCATTTATTGCCCGTCCCTAATTGTCCAGAGGCCAGTTAAGAGTCAACCACATTGCTGTTGGTCTGGAGTCACTTGTAGGCCAGACCAGGTAAGGATGGCGGCTTCCCTCCCTAAAGGATGTTAGTGAACCAGCTGGGTTTTTCCAACATTCGACAATGGATTCACGGTCATCATTAGACTCATAATTCCAGATATTTATTGAATTCAAATTCCACCATCTGACATGGCGGGATTCGAACCCCGGTCCCCAGACATTATCTGGTTCTCTGGAGTAACAGTCCAGCGATAATACCATTAGGCCATTGCCTCCCCTAATTGTTGGGCAATTCAGACTAGAACAGGGTGGTAATGGATGGACAATAATTGGCCTGGTATCCTTTTGGATAGGAGGAACCTGTCCATGGTTTCTCCCCCTGGGACCCTCTTTGTACTTTCTTGCCCCACTTTACTGGAAGTGGGGGACAAAGTTAGATTCAGCCATAATGCTCATGGCCGTCAAATAATAGAACAAATGCCTGATAAAACTGATTTCTCAAAATTCACCAAGAATAATAACATTTTCAGGAAGGTATATATTTTCTTCTAGCTCTGGAAATGTTAAAAGCAATTAGCTCAATAAAAATAAACTGCAATGATTTGAAACATGCAATAAATCTTTGGTTGCTTTTTATCAATGAAATAGTTGACTAAAATCATGAGACAATTGACTAACTAAAAGACAATTGCTTAAGTTTTTAATGGTTTGAATATTTCATTACTTCAAAGGCATTTTATTAATTGAAGTTTTTTGAGTCTTAATCCACAGTTGAATGTCATGTCTCTCAAGCCAACAAAGGCAAACTTTTGGGGAAAAATAGTGTCTAATATCATTGAATTGAGGATAAGTAATTTTGTAAATATGTGCCTTGTCAATTCTGGAGACCATATGTTGAAATTAAATTGACTCAAGTAAAACAAGCAAGGGAAAAATCGCTGCTGTTGGTTTAGATGTTACAATCTTTATTGAATCTTTATTGGAATTTTTGTCTGCTATTTTCATACAGAATTTTTATCCTGTGAGGTTTCCTACTTTACATTCTTCTGATTGCAGGTCATTGTTCCATCTGATGTTAAAATTCATTTAATTAACCTTCTCTCGGAGGCTGGGTTGTCTGTTGTGGAAGCAACAAGCTTTGTTTCTCCAAAATGGGTTCCTCAGGTAAGCAGGGTGAGAAATTTGAACTAACCTTGAACAGCTTTTGCTTATCTGTTTGTCAGACTTGAAAGTTAAGTAGTTTATGGACCCAGGTTCTGAACATGAACAACCATAATAGATGTCTGTTTCTACTCTGACAGTACTCGCATTGACACAGGAATTCTCAAAATCCCTACGCACTTATCTGAAATCTTGCAGTGTCATCTTGGACACAATCCACGCTCTATAAATTGTCGCTATTTCCCACCCCTCTTGATGTTGCAGTTCCTGCAGACATCACGAACAGAAACCAAGTAATGGACCCAAATGGTGAAGTCCCAGGTTTCAATCTTCCTTGGAAAATTTGAATAACCGTCAACCACTTGAGGACAGGCCAGGGAAGATGTAGCCACTTGCTTCACAAGTAGGACAGGAGGAAAAGCTCAAATTGTGATCGTAGCCATTCAAGTCAGACTGTAGCACAAATATTTTTCAGAGATCTATTCCTGGTAACATCACATTGATTCAGATTGCTTCTGCTGAAGTTATTAAATGGATTGTTGACTTCAGCATCAAATTATAACTGCTCCTCTAGCCATGTTGATTAAAAATTGCTGTGCTGTTTTAAAGGTAGATTTGCTGTGTAACTGGAATTATTAATGTTTGTGTAAATATGTAATTGATTTTTTTTCCCATCTTTCATGTACATTGAGCTCTGCCAGTTAAAGATTAAGAGAAAATATATCCCCTGTTGATCACATATTTTATAGAAAGGATCTCTCTGTCTTCAGTACTTTCAATCTTAAGTTCTGGAAATCTGTTCCAGAGCCCTCCATATTTTTAACTCTGGCCCTGTTTTTCATTCCTGGGTTGGGAGAGCAACGTGGGCAGAAACTCTGGTTCTCTGAACCCAACGTTTTAAAAAATGGCCACCCATACTTCAGATTTTTAGTCCAGGGACTGGTCTTTATTTGTGAGTAAGGCATCTGACCTAGGAAGAGCCGAAGAGGCAGCCCAATTCCTGAATTGACCTGGGTGGAAAGCCTGCATGGGGATTTTGGCACTAAATGAAAAGTTTAAAAACTAAGATTAAAACAGAAAACACCCCTCCCAGTCATCCCCTCATTTTCCCCTTGCTGTCTATGCCCTGTCATGCTAAAATATGCCCCTGCAGCCACTCCCGTGCCCTTCGTGCACACTTACAGTAATCTATGCCCATCTTCCATGGCCCTTCACATCCCATATGCCCCTGGTCAACATGGCTGTACGTAGCCCCTATGCTAACACATCCTTCCCATCTGCCAACATTTCCCATAACCCCTCATTGCCAACTCACCTATTATCCACTCATGGGCATTAATCAGGAGGAAGCATGACTGCAAATAAACTATTGGGAGAGAAAAAAGCACGCTCTCATTGATGCAAACCAGATATCCAATACAGTGAAAATGCTTCAACAGATCCCTTAAAGAATGCTTCACTTAATTGGTTAATACCTTGTGTCAACAAACATCCGGCTCAAGTTCAGTCATAGTTATACTGCATGGAAACAGACTCTTCAGTCCAACTCATCCAAGCCAACCAGACATGACAATCTAACCTAGTCCCATTTGCTAGCATTTGACCCATATCCCTGTTAAACTCTTCCTATTCATATACACATCCAGATGCATTTTAAGTATTGTAATTGTACTCGCCTCCACCACTTCCTCTGGCAACTTGTCCCATACATGCACCACCCTCTGTGAAAAAGTTACCTCTCAGGTTCTTTTTAATACTTTATCCTCTCACCTTAAACCTTTTATCCTCTAGTTTTAATCTTTCTTTGGCAATTCACTGTATCTATGCCTCTCATGGTTTGATAAACCTCTTATAAGGTCACCCCTCAGTCTCTGATGTTTTAGGGGAAAAATGCCCCAGCCTATTCAGCCTCTTCCTATAGCTCCAACCCTCCAGTCCCAGCAACATTCTTGTAAATCTTTTCTGCATTCTTTCATGTTTAACAACATCCTTCCTATAGAAGGACGATCAGAATTGTCCGCAGTATTCCAAAAGTGGCTTCCCCAATGTCCTGTACAGCTGCAACATGACATCCCAACTCCTATCCTCGGTGTTCTGACCAATGAAGACAAATGTGCTAAACACATTCTTCACCACTCTGTCTACCTGTGACTCCACTTTCAAGGAACTATGCAAACGTACCCCTCCCTAAGTCTCCTGTTTGGCAACACTGTCCAGGGTCCTACCATTAACTATAGAAGTCCTGCCTGGTCTCAAATACACAGCACATTTTTCAAGCTGCACAATATTTTTTAGACAGGTTCTTGACAACTTTGCAAATTCCAACAAATGTATGCAGTTTTCTTTTGCATAAATATGTTTTTTCCCCTATAATCACCAAAGGGCATTTAACCCCCCACCAAAGCTGTCGTGGGACCATATCCTTACGCTCCCTGAGTTGTCCAAGCAGGACAGACCTGCTCTGACCTGACGTGAACATCCTGGGTACAACACTCCTGGGACTCCAAAATCTGATGTCAGTGGAGGCAGCTGTTCATTTTTCCTGGAAACATACACAAACCAGGACTTGCTCCCATAAAATGAGTTGCCAGGTTTAAGGATGGAACTTGTAACTCCTGACAAATTCTAGCGTTTTTGCCCCAGGAGACACTCTTGTCATCCTGGTGAAACTCGGGTCTCTCTCTCTTTCTTTTTAAGATGCTCCTTTTAAAGCCTACTTCTTGACTAATCTTTTGTTCACCCTACTGATACCTCCTTCTGTAGCTTGTTCTCAAATTTTGGGGTTGATACTGCATGTGAACTGCTTTGGGATGTTTCACTGCATTTAAAGTGCTAGATAAGCACAAACTGCTATACTGATTCATTGTGATTATTGTTACACCATTTTCCTGTGGAAGTGGCATTTCTTGATGTTAGCAGTTAATGTTGAACTAAAGCCCTTAATCATGATCTCTTTCAGTTACTAATCTTGTACTTGGATTGTATTCTGTGTACTGGATTGTATGTAATGCTTTTTCTGTGTAGATGGCTGATCAGAAGGAAGTGATGCAAGGAATCCGAAAGTATCCAAATGTGAGCTACCCAGTGCTGACTCCCAACCTGAAGGGGTTTGAAAGTGCAGTAAGTGTCTATTCCAAGACCTGCATTTCTGATTGTTTACTTAAAAGGATGAAATAATCCCCAGTGACACTTTTTTAAAGAGAATTCTATGCCAAAAATATGGTCTGACACTTTATTTTGCTGACTTGAATAATCCCATCTAGCAATAAACCTAATTTTGCAAAGTATTCTCAAGTCTTTATGTAAAGTACAAATATTTTTGCATTTAGCATTTTGTGACATTGCAGTTGATTAGATACAAACATCCATATCAATAGGCCATTCAGTAAGATTATGGCTGATCTGATTTGTAACTTCAATCCACCTCTCACCTCCACACACACTTAACAAGAATCTGTCTACTTCTGCCTTAAAAATATTCAAGGACACTACTTCTACCATATTTTCAGGAAGAGACTTCCAAAGATTCATGACCCTCTTTTTTTGTGTTTTTAATGGACATCTACCCTGTCTAGACTCCCCAGGATCTTGTATGTTTCAATCAGATCACCTTTTACTCTTCCAAACTCCCAAGTCTACTGTATCCAACCTTCCCTCCATAAGACACCCTTCCCATTTAGGTATTAGTCTTGTAAACCTCTGAATTGCTTCCAACACATTCACATCCTTCCTTAAATAAGGTGACAAATATAGCAATACTCTATATGTGGTCTCATCAGTCCTATATAATTGAAGATAACCTTTTATCCTTTTGTATTCAGTTCCCCTTGCAATAAATGATAATGTTCTGTTAACTTTCCTAATTACTTGTACCTGCATTCTAACCTTTCGTGAATCACATATGAGAACACCCAGATCAGTCTGCATCTCACAACTGTGCAATCTCCTATCGTTTAGATAATATACTTTTTTAAATTCTTCCTGCCAAAATGGCCAATTTTACATTTTACTCCATTTGCCACATCTTCGGCCACTCAGTTCACCTATCTATATTTTTTTTTAGTCCTCTGTCTTCTTCACAACTTACTTTTTTACCTGTTGTATCATCTGCAAAATTGGCAATCACACTTTCTTTCCCCTCTACCCAAGTCATTTATATAAAATGTAAACAGTAGAGATGCATGCACCAATTTATGAGGTGCACCACTTGTTACAGTTTGCCTGCACTAACACGATACATTTATGTCTACTCTCTGCTTCGTGTTAGCCAGCCAATCTTCTGTCAGTGCCACTATGCTACTCCCTACAATATGAGCTTTTAATTTCCCGTGTTACAAAAATCTCTGGTACCTTTATCAAATGCCTTCTGGAAGTCTAAGTATAGTATATCTACTGGTTATTCTTTACCTACAGCACATGCTTCCTCAAAGAATTGTAACTGATGGGTCATTCTTTGATTCATTCAATCTTTTCGGAAATTAATGCTTTCAGTGCTGAAATAATGTCTTATTGTCCAATGTAAACGCGCAATGTGCCTCAGTCAGTATAGTGTGCTGTGGTTTGTATAAAATTCACCTGCATTTGTTTTTAAAATCAGTTTACTTTGATTTTTTAATTTTCTTTTTTTTTCTCAATTTAGATTGGTTCATTTATTTAAAAGGCAGATAATTACTGAGTTCTCTTGGACCAGTTGTTAAGATGTGTAGGCATACCAAGTCTTCATGCTTTGAATTATCATTCTTTCCTTCATTGTCCTGTTAATTAAAAAGCATTTGTGAAGTTATCTCTACAATTTAATAGATCCGTGCATAAAAGTATTGACTGCTTTATCAATGAAGGATAAAATCTGAGAGTTCCTTGAGGTTGTGTTTTGGAAATTTAGTTAAAATCTCATTTAAACCAAATATTGGCTGTATTGCTGTACAGTAACAAGTTCCTGGGCATTCGAGCTATTCAGAAGCTGTATTTACTAACAATAGTTAACCAATCAAATTTCAATTGCATTTATAATACCTTAGGACATTTTCTGTCCCTTAATCATTTCTTGTTAGTTTATAAATGAAACCATTCATTATTTTGGCATTCAGAAAATTTGGTAACGCAGTACAGCACTGTACTGTATTCAGTAATTGATTTAATGTAAATGATATTATGTTTGGACCCTCAAGTATTCTAAAGATTCTCCTTCTCAACCTTTCCCCTCACCTGAGGCATGGTGACCCTCAGGTTAAAGCATCACCTGTCTAACTCTCTAATGAGATAGCAGCTCAATGGTCTGGTAGGACTACAACTACTTTACTTTTTTTATTCTAAGGATAGATTATTGAGCAGGTTCAGTTCTTTGTTCAGTAGCTGCTGTCAGACCACTACATGCAAACATGATGTTCAGCTGTGACGTAATTTGAGAAACATTATTCTGGATAATTCTTGAAATAAAATATCTGTGAAAGTGAATTTACTAGGGTTACAGTAATAAAACGTTTCAAATGTTGGCAAGTTCAAGAGCAACTATAAACCAGAAAATGCTACAAAGGATATAGTAGACCCCTTAAGTTTGGAAACTGATGTGCAAAATTAAGTGAAAAGCAAGAAATAAAGTTAAAGTAAACTTGACTACACAGTTTCCTGACAGTCAATTATTAGAATTTAGTATTGGTATAAATCCTGTATATCACCCCTCTCCCAATACTTTCTATGATTAGATTGTCATAAGTGTCTTTATTATTGAACTCTCTGGATTCCTATGTCACTTGCAGTCATCCCAGTGGCTTAATCTAGGATTGGAAGTTTGATCTGCAGTGTCCTACTTTAGTCTGTGTAATGTATAGCATAATGAACTTTTTCACAGATCAAGGCAGGTGCAAAGGAAGTAGCCATCTTTGGAGCTGCCTCAGAAATGTTCAGCAAAAGAAACATTAACTGTTCCATTGATGAGAGTCTACAACGGTTTGACGAGGTGATGAAAGCAGCAAAGGATTCAAGCATTCCAGTCCGAGGGTATGATTGCAAATCTACATGTTTTTGTGTTGTGAAACATTTTTTTTGCATTTTTGAAGACAAGTTTAACTTCTTTAAAACCTCTCAGTAATGCAATCAAATATATGTTAAAATTCAAAGTTAAAATAATTCTTGGATCACTTGCTTTGGGAGTAATCAAAGAAATTGCCTGTATTGCAATTTAAAGGAACACTTGTCTGCTGTCAGCTAAATTGCAACAACCTTATTGTGAGGTTTGTTATTAGAAAACAAACATTTATGACACAAGTGCTTGATAGCTACTCTCTGCTGTAATTAATTCAATGTTTTAATCATTATCCAATTTTATTCCCTTTTTATCCTCTTCCTAAGTTGTGTGCCCGGAGTGTTGGCAGACTATTTGACTTGTATGACATTGCAACTGTGTCAATTCCAATATGCACTTAAGGTACATAGTTATAAAGCATGAAAACAGGCCCTTCAGTCCAACTCATCCATGCCAACCAGATATCCATGTATAAATCTTGTTCAGCACAAGGTATAGAATAGCAATATGAATGAACTGTGGCTGACCTCTGCCATTCTCAACCTCCTAAAGCAAGGGGACAAGCCAATCTTTCTCCATTTGCTGCTCTTGTCAAGATTCTCAAATCTCCTGTCATAGGCGTAACTAGGATCTTCCTAAAGCACAATTCATTAACTCTACCATGAGCAACACTCTGCTGTTACTCATCCTGCAATAGGCCACTCTTAGAAATCGGTTCCAGACCTTGGTTCCTGTTCCCATACAATAATTTTAAAGTCATTTTTAAACATCATCATAATTTCACCTCATCTTCTGCAATTTTGTTCAGCCCTGTATTCTTTGCCAAGTTACTTTTGATTTTTGCTTTCGACACATCCTTTATTTACCCCAATTCTGCTTGGAGAGCCTTCAATTTAATTCTTGACATTCCTAAAATCCCTCCACTCCCCTGTTCAACTTCAAAAATCCTCTAAAATTAACTTTTGCAGCCAAGCTTCATTCTTTCTGACTTGATGTCTGTATTTGTGAAGTACTTGGGAAATTTGCTTTGTTACAGGCCCTACTTAAAAATGATAAGG